GTCAAATTACCGCCCAGTAAGCCTGACCTCAATTGTAGGCAAATTACTAGAGTCAATTATAGCTGAGATTATAGAAGCCATCTCGATAAGCATAGCTTGTTAAGGATACTCAGCATGGATTCACAAGAGGCCGGTCTTGTCTAACTAATTTATTAACTTTCTTCAGTAAAGCTTTTGAGGCTGTAGACCACGATAAAGAATTTGATATTATTTACTTAGATTTTAGTAAGGCTTTTGATAGAGTTCCGCACCATAGACTGTTAAAGAAAGTGGCAGCTCATGGCATTGGGGAAAAGTGCTCTCGTGGATCGAGTCATGGCTCACTGACAGGAAGCAGAGTGTGTCCATAAATGGGGTTAAATCCGAGTGGGGATCTGTAACAAGTGGCGTTCCACAGGGATCAGTCTTGGGCCCGTTGTTGTTTATAATATATATCAATGATCTTGATGAGGGAATTACTAGTGATATGAGCAAATTCGCCGATGACACAAAGATAGGTAGGATAATTGATTCAAACGTAGATGTTATGGAACTTCAGGAGGATTTAAACAAACTCTATTCTTGGTCAGAAAAGTGGCAGATGCAGTTCAATGTAGATAAATGCAAGGTTCTGAAGCTTGGGAGTGCCCATAACCCTAGTACTTGTAAGTTAAATGATGTAGAACTTAGCCATACAGATTGCGAAAAGGACTTGGGGGTTATGGTGAGCAGCAACCTTAAACCAAGACAGCAATGCCTAAGCGTACGTAATAAGGCAAATAGATTACTGGGATTTATATCAAGAAGTGTAAGCAACAGAAGTCCAGAGGTCATACTGCAGCTTTATACATCATTAGTAAGGCCTCACCTAGATTATGCAGCTCAGTTCTGGTCTCCATATTACAGAATGGACATAAATTCATTAGAAAACATTCAGCGTAGGATGACTAAATTAATACATAGCATTAGAAATCTTCCTTATGAAGAAAGATTGAAGACTCTTAAGTTACTTCACTTGTTAGACGAAGAATGAGGGGAGACCTGATCGAAGTGTATAAGTGGAAGATAGGTATTAATAAAGGGGATATTAATAAGATCTTGAGGATGTCTCTCCAAGAGAGAACCCGCAGTAATGGATTTAAATTAGATAAGTTTAGATTTAGAAAGGACATAGGAAAGTATTGGTTTGGAAATAGGGTAGTTGATGAGTGGAACAGTCTACCTAGTTGGGTTATTGAGGCTGGGAACTTTGGGTAGTTTCAAATTTAGGTTGGATAAGTACATGAGTGGGAGGGGTTGGATTTGAGTGGGACTTTCACATCGGAGCTTATTTCTTGGGTAGCATTGAAAATTGGGTTGGGCAAATGTTTTGTTAGTGGGATGAATTGTAAAGGCCCTGCCTAGTATGGGCCAACAGGCCTCCTGCAGTGTTCCTCCTTTATGTTCTTATGGATATGTGGGCCATTGAGCCGCCAGCAGCAACAGCCTGGTTGACCAGACAAGCACCAGACGACCCTGACCCAAGACTGAGCTCTGGGACTAGAAATACACTCGGAACTCATCAAAAGTGTATGCAATTTAGCACAACCTTCGTGATTTATACTGAATAGACTAATAACAAGTATTTAAGTTTCAAAAATAACCCCTACACCCATTGTAGGTACGTATATAACCCTCCTTTCCCAGGATGCCATTCAGAGTTCACTTGACCATGCTTGGGAAATGAACCTGGGATCCCTCTTGGTTTGAGGTTTAAAGGTGACGATTTTGGTGTTTACATACTCCAAGCACAGACAACCCGACTGATAATTAAGCTGCCTCGGCTGTTAACCTTTTGCGCTTGCTGTCGCTGCGGCGGCATCTGCCCAGTTTTATCCCCTTCTTCCAGTTCTCTCCTCGGCAAAACTTGGGCATTTATTTACATTCTACAGTACATACAATCTATGTACACCATGGGATGAGTAAGTATCTCATGAGCAAATTATTATTTTGGGAGATACAAGCAAAAATAGTGCACATTAGCTGTGGTTGTATAGCACGTTCGAGGGAATCAACATTTGAGTCATGTCATGCACCTGCCAAATGTAAACAAATATATGTGCCATTAGGTTATTTTATGTTAGGTGAGTTTTGTATTTATATTGGTAGAATTACCAACAATATGTTAAGTAAAAGGATACAAATGCAACTAATGTGTATTTTATTGGGGCATGATAAAGCTACTGGAGAGCGAAACTTTGCCACAATAAAATGTCACATTAGACCCGGGCCGGGAGAGTACCGGCGAATAAAAAAAAAAAAGTAGCATTTGTGTCCTTTTACTTAACATAGGTGAGTTTTGTTAAGTTTGGTTACATGTTTTACCATTTGCACAACAAAATAACAAATCTCAACTGTAAAACAAATGTAATATTGTACAAATTAAATTATAAAAAATAGATGAAATCCTGATTTTACCCAGATATGATAGTGACTCCAACTAGTGATAGTGATGACCTAACAATTCCCAAGATCTTTCTTCCTCTTCCCCCTTCCACCCTGGATTTATACACCCTCCTGGTTATTCCCCTCAAAGGAGGATCCTTGATGTCTGCTAGTTTAGCAGCAACATGGAACTGCTTGTGTAACTTGCAGTGTTGACAGTTTTTCTGCAGGTTTTTCTTTTTCATCTTCGTCTTATCTGCTTCCATTTTAGCTGGGCATTGAGCTCCGCCAACATTTCCTCTGGATTTCTTTTATCATCATCATCTTTTAAGAACTCATTCACATATTCCTCCTGCATTTCTTCAGTGCCCCAACCTGGTAATCTTGCCATGTGGACAGTTTCTTGGACTTGGTGCTCATCTGAGGGAAAAATCTGTGAAAGTATTTACCACACTTGGATACAAATCTTCCCCAATTTGCTTTTAATGTTGATTGGTGCACTTCATTCCATGCTCTTTTGATGTAACTGATGGCATCTGCAGTGTTAAATTTATGCCAGAAGTCTGGCATTGAGTCAGCATCCATTGCTCCAGTGACTTTCCACATCACTTTTTGTGTGTAATTGCATTTAAATTTCTTCAACTTCTCAATCCCATAATTGTATTGGAGATGCTATTTTTGGCATTAAAATAGTTTTAGTTGTGGGGTGCAGATCCTTCAAGAGTTCTGGGTGAGTACATTGATTATTATGAAAAAAAGAAAATCTTGAATGTAAAGTTCTTGCTGTGCAAGTACACCGTGACTTCCAGAATATAATGATGCTTAAACCATTCAGCAAGTAATCTGTCATCCATACTGACTTGTTTGACCACCCAATAATTGACATGGTGGTTTTGTCTGTACCTTTCAAACCACAGGGAATCATTTAGCTGTAGATAAGCATGGGTTTACACTTAAAATCCCCTGATGCATTACCAGATGGTAGCAAGCTGAAACAATCTTTTGCTGCCTTGAATCCTGGTGCACTTTTCTCTTACTGATGCAAGTTCTCAATGGCATCTTCCAGTAAACACTTGTGAGCATTAAACACTTGCTGTGGCTAATAGCCACCCTCGGAAATAATTTCCTTCAATTCATCATGGAAATTTCCTGCAGCTGTGGTCAACAGAAGCATTTTCACCAGAAAATTTAATATGCAACTGATTGCACAATTTGAATTTGTGGAACCAGCAAGTACTGAACAAACATTCTTGTTTCAGTCCTTTCTTCCTCATCCTACACTGTTTTATAGTTCTTTTAATCTTTTTCCTATGTTAAGATGAAATTAAGTGGTGCACCTCTCTTGGTTTTCTGCTTAATCCACTCATTCAGTATCTTCTCCATCTTAGCTGTTGTGACTTGTCATTTTTTTCATGAGATCACAACCTGGGTTACTCCTTGTCAGACTTATATCTTTGCTTTATTCTTTTTAATTGTTTGACTTGATTCCTCAGGCAAACCGTAGGCTTACAATATCTCCATCACACGTGCACCACTTTTAAGCTTATCTGAAGATCACAGCATTCCATTTGGGTGTCATAGTTACTATCCAGAATAGTGGCTTAAAATCTTGTACTCACAACTTGTTGCACACTTTTAGCTTGACAGTAGAGAGACAGAACCAGTTCCATTTTTTCCCTAAATTTATCCAGCAAGATGAGTCGATAAATGGTGAAAGTACAACTATTGATTTATAATCAAAGGTAATAGTATGGTAATCAGCATTGCTGTATGTTTCTGTACGAATAGAGATACATAACCGAAGTGAGGCACATGTTCCCTAATTTTCATGTAATGATCTCCATCATGTTTCAGTACAAATTTGGACTACAATTTAGCATGTTAATTGCAAATAGTTCGTTAATAGAGTGTGTTAATCACCAGTCTGCTGTATATATTGAACACATGCACCACACATTCCAAAATCATATTCCCACCTGCTCTTAACATCTCAGTCTTATTTATAAACTATATGTTACGTATTTATATATTTGCATTTTTGCGCAAAAAAAAAGAAGCTTTAGGTACTGTATTTGGGTTTTTTGTATTGTAAATGAAAGGCAGTTTCTCTCTCCCAGTTATAATTAATGGGTGGCCTGGTGGCTAAAGCTCCCGCTTCACACACGGAGGGCCCGGGTTCGATTCCCGGCGGGTGGAAACATTCCGACACGTTTCCTTACACCTGTTGTCCTGTTCACCTAGCAGCAAATAGGTACCTGGGTGTTAGTCGACTGGTGTGGGTCGCATCCTGGGGGACAAGATTAAGGACCCCAATGGAAATAAGTTAGACAGTCCTCGATGACGCACTGACTTTCTTGGGTTATCCTGGGTGGCTAACCCTCCGGGGTTAAAAATCCGAACGAAATCTTATCTTATCTTATCTTATCTTACGGTATGAACTAAATCATATATAATTAAACTCTTGCAAGGCTAGTCAAGTATCTATTAACAACTGAGATGTCTTTTATTGCTTCTATTAGATGTGTAATGCAGCTTGATTTAGCAACCCTTTTCTTGTATGAAAATCTTGCTAACATTTTTTTTTTTTTTTTTTTCAGGTGTACCCAGAGCGTGACATCACCAACATTGTTGAATCTTCACATTACTACAAAGTGCCCAATTTTTGTCGTGTTGGTCACGCCAAGTGCAAAGCAGCAGCTTGGGTCAAGCCTTACCGCTGCCTGGGTGAGGAAATTTTAAAAAGTTGTTTTGGTTCAATAGTTTGCTCACTTACCTCACAAGTGTGGGATTCTGGGATCAGAGTATCATCACTGTGTAGCTAGATGGCTGTGTACTGTCTGATAAAGTGTGGATGTTGTTGACTTGTACTGGGCCATTCCTTGCCACCCTTGCAATGCTTGCAATGACTGACAGTATATCATAGCATTGCATATGGGTCTTAATTTATACATGACTGTATTATATACCTTGTGTGATCCAGTCCCTGCCTTTGCTCTCCACAACTTGTTTGCTGTATGATCCATACTGATGTAAGCACAGTGTTTTTTAATACAGGTTGACCATCACTAATCCAGCACCATCGGGACCTATAGGGTGCTGGATTAGTGATTTTACCAGATTACAGAGATTGCATATGGGTCTTAATTTATACATGACTGTATTATATACCTTGTGTGATCCAGTCCCTGCCTTTGCACTCCACAACTTGTTTGCTGTATGATCCATACTGATGTAAGCACAGTGTTTTTTAATACAGGTTGACCATCACTAATCCAGCACCATCGGGACCTATAGGGTGCTGGATTAGTGATTTTACCAGATTACAGAGTGGTTGGGTTAGAATACACCTAACCGAACGACGATATTTATGCATCAGCGATTTCATCCACTTCACGACCTATTTTTGACCCTCTCCATTGTTCCAGTGTACCAAACTCATAGATAATTCACTAGTATTTCTTCTATTCTGTCGATTGAGTACAAGAAACCTTCCATTTACCTATTTCAACTACCCAGTAAAGTGGTCAGAAATTGGTAATTTGGCTAATTTCACACAAATTTCAAGAGATGCCAGTTTCAAAATAGGGTCCAGAATAAACAATGTAGACATTCCTGGCACTAAAGTAACATTTTCTCTGTTCATTAGTCACGTCTTCAGGCCCCTCTTATATTACACTTGCTTTCTGTTTTGAATTTCTATTCACACAAAAAAAATAGAAGTTTTACTGTTATGTAGACTACTGAGCTTATGGCGACCGACAGTGGCTTCAAAGCCACCTTGTCTTTTATGGACAGTGTATGGTGTATGTGCTTTACACAACGAGAAGCATTTCTTTTATTCATTGGAACCATGTCTAGGGCTAAAAGTGAGCATGTTATAACAATAAATGGAGAAAGACATTGGAATGACTTACACAGCAAGTAGCACCACCAAACAGTAGCGGCAGGTTGGTGTGGCGACCCCGGAAATTTGAAATTATGCTAACAGAAATTAGTGCCAGATTACTGATGGAACCAGATTACTAATTGCCTGATTAGTGATGGCTGACCTGTACTGTACTGTATACCTCTGATCTGTGCAAGGGAACCACATATTTTTAATATAACTAATAATAATTAATAACAATAACAATAATAGTAATATATATAATACTCCACAGCTTGTTATTTTTTAGATGTACATGTGTGTATTTGTATAAAGCCTCTCCCCACTTAACGATGGAATTCAGTTCCGAAAACCACGTTGGTAAACAATTTTGTTGCTTAGCAAGGAGCATACTGTGATGGTAGTGGGTTTATGTCAACCATCTTTGATATTGTTTTAATGTCATCTTGGCACCATTTATAAAATTTTTAGTATACATTTTTAAAAGCTTATACAGTGGTGTACTGTATATTTTAATAAACAGAATAGAGGAAATCAGCTCTTAATATATATTATTTAAGTTTTCATACTGGTCAGAGAGCCCATTGTAAGTCCAAGTCATCTGTAAATGAGCACATCGCTAAGTGAGGAGAGGCTGTATTATATATTTTAATCTTTAAGCTAATTTTCTAACTGGATGGCTTAACATTGGACAGTGCTTAAGTAATTTTTGCCTTCCATACTGTGATTGAATGGTATTTTTTTACATAAATACTGATACTGGAATGAACTGATGACTTTAGATTGTAATTGCTCCCCTATTGCAAGTAATTAATATTTTTATTCTTTGCAGAAAATTTTAGAATTCTTACATAAAAATATTTACCAGTGAAAGTAGAACTCAAGAGACTGGGATGTGTGATGTCACCATGGTTGTTTAACATGTTTACAGATGGGCTTGTAAAAGAAGTGAATGCTAGAGTGTTGGGGAGAGGTGTAGGATTAGATGTTGCATCTAATACAGTGGACCCTTTTTTTATCGGCCGTTCCGGATAATGGCCAATTCAGTTTTCGCCTGCTTTTTTTGGCCAAAATTCTATCCTGGTTATCTGACGTTATTTTGGAGATCGGCCATATTGGACGCATAATAAATCACTCTTGAGCACATTAAGTGTCTTTTCTTAGGTTAATATAGACATTTTCATGAATCCATCTATGATATTGTCTTCAAAATTATATAAGAAACATGTTACATAGTACTATATAAAAACATGCAATGTTTATATGTGATGTATGTTTAATAATAATCACTCTTGGGCACATTGTCTTATCTTAGGTTAATATAGACATTTTCATTAATCCATGATATTTTCTTTAACCCTTAAACTGTCCAAACGTTGATCTACGTTTGCACACGTAGCGTTCAGAACGTAGATCTACATTCAATTTTACATTGTTTCTTAGGTAAAAAAATGTAGATCTATGTTCGGAGCGCTAAGGGTGCAAAAGTAGATCTACGTTTGGACAGTTTAAGGGTTAATTATATAAGAAACACATTACAAAGCATATAGCATATAAACATGCAATGTTTATGTGCTATCGAGTGGAGAGTACTGGCTAATCAAGGAGGAGGAGGAGGGTGAAGAGTAAACATTACATTTTCTCTGGTTCAGCATTAGAGAAAACTGTGAATCTGGTGTCTCGCCCAGTAACCCCCCTTCATGTGCATTTGTTTACAATTCTCGGCATGAATTATTCATTACTTTGTTTATGATGGCATCTAAAGATAGTCTTTAGAAACAATTAAACTCAGTGAACATGGTAGTAATATGGCTGTGTAGTGTAGCCTGGGGGGGGGGGGGCTACACAACTCAGAGGGGAGAGGGAGTTGGGGATTCCTAACTCCCTCTCCCCTCCTTTCTTCTTCAATACACCAACAAGAGTCATCAATAAAGGTATGTAAAGTTCATTTTTTATTAAAATTTGTGCTTTATGTTTATTTCTCATTGTTTCCTGCATGTACAACTACAGTGGACCCCCGCATAACGATGTTATTTCAATCCAGAATTCTGTTTGGGTGCCGTTATAGACCGAATTTGTTCCCATAAGAAATATTGTGAATTAGATTAGTCCATTTCAGACCCCTAAAAATACACCTATAAAAGCACTTACAAAAATAAACTTACATAATTGGTCGAGTTGGGAGCTGATCGTTATCCGGGGGTCCACTGTATAGTTAATCTGTAAAAAATATATTTAGTGTTAATATTTTTGGGTGTCTGAAACAGATTAATTGGATTTACATTAATTCTTATGGGAAATATTATTTCGGTTTTTGGCCTTTTCGGATTTAGGCCAACCTTCTGAAACAGATTACGGCCGATAACTGAGGGTCCACTGTACAGAGTGGGAGTTGTCAAATTTCTCTTTGCAAATGACACTCTTCTTTTGAAAGGCTCTAAAGACAAGTTGTAAAGGTTGGTGGATGAATTTAAAAGTGAATGCAAAAGTAGGAAATTAAAAGTGAATATAGAAAAGAGGAAGGTAATGAGGGTAACAAAAACATCTAGGCAGTAATAGGTTGCATATCAGATTGCAGGGGGGGAGTATGGAGAAAGTGGAAATATTAAGATTTTGGGAGTGACTTGTCAGAAGATGGGTCTATGGACTGTCATAAAGATTGATCATTTATTGTTTGGATAGAATCAGGGGTGTTAAAGTTGCAGTTTAAAAACTGTAGTGTAAAGCACCCTTCTGGCAAGACAGTGATGGAGTGAATGATGGTGAAAGTTTTTCTTTTTCGGGCCACCCTGCCTTGGTGGGAATCGGCCAGTGTGTTAATAAAATAAATAAAAAAGAATCAGTAAGCCATTTAAATTACTGGGAACACTTCACAGTCTTAAATATGTACCCATTGGAGCAGGAGAGAGAGAGAGAGAGAAAGTACATGATCATATATACATGGAAAGTACTTGAGGGCTTAGTCTCAAATCTACGCACTGCCATAACAATGTACCGGAGTGAGAGATATGTAAAATAAGCCAGTTAGAAACAGGGGGCACATCCATTGTCCCAGAAGAAATCAGATATCAGAAACATTGCTAGAACAAGTGTAAAATTCTTCAAGAGGAAACTTGCCAAGTGCTGGATCAACCAAACTGTAATGGATGCATTTGCCAGCAGCCTCAGTCTGGTTGATCATACAAGCACCAGATAAGCCTGGCTCATGGTGGGCCCAGCTCCATTTATAACATGAGTGTTAATGGGAAAGGAGCTTTTAAGCTTTGAATGCTAGTGCTAAAATTATTTTCAGTGTCATAAGTGGAGCTCTATTGTACTTGTATACATATAATGTTTTTGACTGACCTTAGTTGGTAATGTAGTTTTTGATAAACTCGGGAACATAGAATAATTATTGTGAACTAAATTTGAAGGATAGATACTGAAACTTGTGAAATAAATAACATAAGTCTTCACCAGAGAAAAAGTTTTCTTAAATGGCAAACTGAAGACTTCTAATACAGTACAGAGCAATATACCTGGTAGCCATGATCAACCAGGCTGTAGTGCCTTTTGGACTACATGTGGCCAGCACCAACAACCTGATTGATCAGGTGGTTGGTGCCTAATTTGGAACCAGAATTGTCTACAGATACAGATATACAGTAATAGCATCGTTAAAGAATATGTCACAATATTGTGGCTGGAACTATTCGTGCCTATATGGTGTGGTAAAGGAAACTTTAAACAGTGCTTTGCTCCATCCTGTTCCATTATAAAATCACAAAAAGAGAAATTGTCTCTTTCTCACATTTTCCTCTCAGCTGTTGCATGGTCCAGGATGAATCAAAATGGCCTCTAAAGTTATCTACAAATTGCAATTTAGTGGTAAAAAAGTCTGTGCAGATAGTTTAAATGCTTTTATGCATAAAATTGGAGCTGTTGCATAAAGTGACCTAATTTTTTTTTATTTCAGAAGGATCATTCCAGTCTGATGCTTTGCTGGTACCTGAAGGTTGTCTCTTTGATCACATCCACAACCAGTCACGCTGCTGGGAGTTTGATCGGTGGAACACCACTGCGGACCGAGCATGTGGTGCTCGCAGAATGACCCTCAAGTCCTTTGCCATGCTTCTTCCCTGTGGTATTGATGTTTTCTCTGGTGTGGAATTTGTGTGCTGCCCAAAGAATTACAAGAGTCATGGGAAGGCCCGACCGATGGAGGTGGAGGAACCAGTTGCTCTCCCACAGATGGACCATCGTGCCCAACAGGCCATTTCTGCTACTCCCACACCCAAGATGGCCACCACAACAACTTCCCAGGTAGTGAGGCTTAAACGTAGCTTGCACGGCATTGTGAATCATTTCTCTAAATCTTCTGCATTTTGTCCAAGATGCAAACTAAGGCATGTGACCCAAATGCAATTTGTTATTTTGTAGGATGGCGCTGTAGCCTCTATCGACTTGTGCTCTTTTAGTATCGTACATATCATAGAATCAATGAATCACTGAAGAAGGCACATTCTCCCCTCTCTCTTCCTCCTCCACTTTGGTATTCTGCTACGAGTTCTATCTTGAATTCTATAGTTTTTCTCACCTTTACCAAAGGGGCTGGCACTAGTGCAATATTTTATGGGATTTTCATGTTTTATGATTGTTCATGGTTCAGTAAGTTAAGGAAGCAGTATTGTATTATATTTCCTTACAGTATATTGGGGCACCAAACATTCACGATTTTTCAACATTCGCGAGGTTCTTGATCCCCTAACCCTTGCAGATGTTGAGGGAGACCTGTATTGGTGTGCCTCCAACTCTCACACCCACTGGAAATTACCAAGCTCCCTCCACCTCCTACATCTTCACCGACCTTCAGCTCACTCCTATACTCAATAACTCATTTCCACACTTTGAGCATGTTTCTGCACCCATTAACGTGAAAAGAAAAAAAACCCTTCTTCCATACTCCCTCCAGTGAGATATCCGATTCTTCTTTACCCGACTTGTTTAATATCCTTATCATCTTACTCTTATCTGTGTTATAAGTAAGTAAGTTTATTCAGGTATACACAAATACAGTTACATAGAATTATCATACATAGCAGCATATGTGTAGAGAACCTAGGATAACCCAAAAAAGTCAGACAGAGTGACTTATTTCCATTGGGGTCCGTTTACCTTATTATTATAATATAAAGGTTATAATATTTTCTTATTATTCTATAATGAAGATAACACAGGGTCATTAAGACTATCTACAATATGAGGGTCATTCCTAGGAATAAGGTAAAATTTACACTTTCAACTTTACATGCCCTCCCAAACTCATCCACTAACCTTTGACAAATTTCTCTAGAATCTCCCAAAAGCACAGTATCATCAGCAAAAAGTAACTGTGTCAACTCTCATTTTGTGTTTGATTCCCCATAATTTAACCCCACCCCTCTCCCCAACATCCTAGCATTTGCTTCTTTTACATCCCCATCTATAAATATATTAAACAACCATGGTGACATTACACATCCCTGTCTAAGACCTACTTTTCCTGGGAAGTAATCTCCCTCTCTTCTACACACCCTAACCTGAGCCACACTATCCTCATAAAAACTCTTTACAGCATTTAGTATCTTAATACCCATTCTATATACAGTGGAACCTCAAATATCAAACTTTCTTCAGTCCAGAAGGCTGTCCAAGTGCCATTAGCGAATGAATTTATTCCCATCAGGAATAATGTAAATTAGATTAGTCCATTTCAAACCCTCAAAAATACACTTATAAAAGCACTTACAAAAATACACTTATATAATTGGTTGAGTTGGGAGCAGTTTGATTTTTGAGGTTCCACTGTACTTGCAACATCTGCCACATTGCTCCCCTATCCACTCTATCATATGCCTTTTCTAAATTATCAATGCAATGAAAACTTCCCTACCTTTATCGAAATACTGTTCACGTATATGCTTCAATGTAAACACTTCATCTAGACATCCCCTATCCACTCTAAAGCCTCCTTGCTCATCCGCAATCCTACTCTCTGTTTTACCTCTAATTCTTTCAATAATAACCCTACTGGACACTTTTCCTGGTATATTCAGTAAACTTTTTCCCCTATAATTTTTACAGTCTCTTTTGCCCCTCTTCCCTTTAAATAAAGGAACTATACATGCTCTCTGCCAATCCCTAGGTACCTTCCCCTCTTTCATATATTTTTTTTTTTTTCAACAAGTCGGCCGTCTCCCACTGAGGCAGGGTGACCCAAAAAAGAAAGAAAATCCCCAAAAAGAAAATACTTTCATCATCATTCAACACTTTCACTACACTCGCACATTATCACTGTTTTTGCAGAGGTGCTCAGAATACACAGTTTAGAAGCATACACATATAAAGATACACAACATATCCCTCCAAACTGCCAATATCCCAAACCCCTCCTTTAAAGTGCAGGCATTGTACTTCCCTTCCAGGACTCAAGTCCGACTATATGAAAATAACTGGTTTCCCTGAATCCCTTAACTAAATATTACCCTGCTCACACTCCAACAGATCGTCAGGTCCCAAGTACCATTCGTCTCCATTCACTCTATCTAACACGCTCACGCACGCTTGCTGGAAGTCCAAGCCCCTTGCCCACAAAACCTCTTTACCCCTCTCTCCAACCTTTTCGAGGATGACCTACCCCGCCTTCCTTCACCTATAGATTTATATGCTTTCCATGTCATTCTAACTTGATCCATTCTCTCTAAATGACCAAAACCACCTCAACAACCCCTCTTCTGCACCTCTGACTAATACTTTTATTAACTCCAACACCTTTTCCTAATTTCCACACTCCGAATTTTCTGCATAATATTTACACCACACATTGCCCTTAAACAGGACATCTCCACTGCCTCCAACTGTCTCCTCGCTGTTGCATTTACCACCCAAGTTTCACACCCATATAAGAGTGTTGGTACTACTATACTTTCATACATTCCCTTCTTTGCCTCCATAAATAACGTTTTTTGACTCCACATAAACCTCAACGCACCACTCGCCTTTTTTCCCTCATCAATTCTATGATTAACCTCATCCTTCATAAATCCATCCGCCGACACGTCAACTCGAATCGAATCGAGGACGACGAGAGCTGTCGTAAGATGGGAAGGAAGAAGGATAAGGAAGGATGGAAATAACTGGAAAAGGATGGTGAGGAGGGGAAGAGGAGGAATCGAGGCAAGTGGCCCAACCACTTTGGGACATGTGGTACAAAGGTACTGGAGACGTAGATAGAGAGGTTTGACTGATGTCATTGCTTGGCTCACTAGGAGAGGATGGCGAAGGCAGCGGTAGGAGCTGGGAGTGTCAGAAGGCAGCAAGCAGGATGAGTTGGTTATGGTCTTAAACCGTTTATCAGTGCGGTAAATTGTTTTCGAGAGAGTTGTATCACACTTATGGGAGAGCTGTAGTAGTATTCGTTGGTTTGGAGTTGGTGGAGTATCTGGTTGTAGGTAGGGAATGGTCTTTCTTCACTTTGGTACGATACAGTGTTGTCTTGGAGATGTTGGATGAGTTCTAGGCAAGTCATGCTTGCAGGGTATAGCCTCGTGGTGTAGAATATGAGTCCTTTGTGTTTAACCCATGGTGTCCCAGGTAATCGACGTGAGCTAAGTAGAGAAGGCGGTGGTGGAGTAGAGGAAGGTGGTGTTGCTTCGTTTTCAACTTCAGTAGACGAATTAGAAGATGTTTCTGGTGGTAAGGCTTCTGATTGGTTGGATTCAGTGAGAGGTGGTGGAGGTGGAGGCTTCTCATTGGTCGTTGTTGGATTGACGTCACTAGTTGGTGGTGTTGATGGAACTTCTGCAGAAGAGTTGGCGATTAAGTTTTTGGTGAATTTGAGAATTTCTTCAGAAGGTGGAGATGCTGGAAATGTAAATGAAGGCATGTTATTTAATGCAAATAACTCGTTGATGGTAGAGTTAAATGATCCAGGTACAGCCATGTTTTGTATATGAGCGTATGGTAGACAGTACAGGTACAGCCATGTTTTGCATATGAGCGTATGGTAGACAGTAGTGAATCTTCGTTACGTCACATGTTGGAGGAGTGATGGTAGTGGTGGTGGTGGAGGTGGGCTGAGTAGATGCTTGAACTAATTTTGTAGTGTCTGCTTGTATTTTTGCAATTGCTGCATACGTTGGAGTGTTGCTAGTAGGTTTTTTCTTTGCTGCATCTTGTGTTTTCTTCATAATATCCTTTCTTGTAGGACATTTTGCTGCCAGTGTATGGTGATCATTACTCTTGCAGTTTAAGCACGCTGGTTGTGTTGGAGCAGCAGCGGTGCAGGAACTGAAGGTGTGTCCCTCACTACCACATGTAGTGCAGAACTTCTTGTCTTTTACTGGACATGCTTTGGTGGTGTGATGGTATGAATAACAATTCCAGCAATGTTGGATGTAGTGATATCTCTCTGCTTCAATGTAGGTAGGGCTGATGTAGTAGTAGTAGACAGCAAGACCTTCGTTCAGTGCAGTGGCAGCCATGTTTACGTCGGTGAAGGTGACCTTGATCATGGACGTTTCATTTGGGATTTTTGTAATGCTGTCAACAGTAGCCCAAGTATTTTGCGTCTCGATGGATGACTTGAGTTCTGCAGGTGTTTGAGATGTCAGAATCTTGTCCAGTTTTTTTAGGAACACTGATTTCCTTGCCCTGAGGGCAGGAGATGACGTAACAGTAAACCCTTGAGTAGTAAGAGTAGTGATGGCTTCTGTAGTGAGTAGCTTCTCTGCTTCAGCATCATCGTGACACACAACAATGAATGCTTCTTTCAGTGACAACATGGTGTTGAATTTTACTTCCAGTGCTCCCTGAACAACAGTTGCAAGAGCAATCTTCGTTGAATCATCAACGGTACCATTTCTTGGTTTGATCTTTACACGATTTGCGTAGCTCGTCGTGTAAGTCAAGGCGATGACAACGCTGGTAAAGGTTCCCCTCCCCAACGGGGATCGTAGGGAGACAGAGTAAGTAAGGAGAGCTGCTATGACCTGCCTGGGCGAGAGTCAAGAGCAGAATCATTTGTCAATTTGTCAACGGTGTAAGGAATAACGTCAACTCCCAAGTATCTGAAAACATTCACTTCTTCCATACTCCTCCTCCCCAATTTGATATCCAATTTTTCTTTATCTAAATCATTTGATGCCCTCTTCACCTTACTCTTTTCTATGTTCACTTTCAACTTTCTACCTTTACACACATTCCCAAACTCATCCACTAACCTTTGCAATTTTTCTTTAGAATCTCCTATAAGCACAGTATCATCAACAAAAAGTAACTGTGTCAATTCCCATTTTGAATTTGATTCCCCAAAATTTAATCCCACCCCTCTCCTGAACACCCTAGCATTTACTTCCTTTACAACCCCATCTATAAATATATTAAACAACCATGGTGACATTACACATCCCTGTCTAAGACCTACTTTTACTGGGAAGTAGTCTCCCTCTCTTCTACACACCCTAACCTGAGCCTCACTATCCTCATAAAAACTCTTTACAGCATTTAATAACTTACCACCTATTCCATATACTTGCAACATCTGCCACATTGCTCCTCTATCCACTCTATCATATGCCTTTTCTAAATCCATAAATGCAAGGAAAACTTCCCTACCTTTATCTAAATACTGTTCACATATATGCTTCAATGTAAACACTTGATCTACACATCCCCTACCCACTCTGAAACCTCCTTGCTCATCCGCAATCCTACATTCTGTCTTACCTCTAATTCTTTCAATTATAACCCTATCGTACACTTTTCCTGGTATACTCAGTAAACTTATTCCTCTATAATTTTTACAGTCTCTTTTGTCTCCTTTCCCTTTATGTAAAGGGACTATACATGCTCTCCGCCACTCCCTAGGTACCTTCCCCTCTTTCATACATTTATTAAACAAAAGTACCAACCACTCCAACACTATATACCCCCCTGCTTTTAACATTTCTGTCATGATCCCATCAGTTCCAGCTGCTTTACCCCCTTTCATTCTACGTAATGCCTCACGTACCTCCCCCACACTTACATTCTGCTCTTCTTCACTCCTAAAAGATGGTATACCTCCCTGACCAGTGCATGAAATTACTGCCTCTCTTTCTTCCTTAACATTTAAAAGTTCCTCAAAATATTCTCGCCATCTACCTAATACCTCCATCTCCCCATCTACTAACTCCCCTACTCTGTTTTTAACTGACAAATCCATACTTTCCCTAGGCTTTCTTAACTTGTTTAACTCCAAAATTTTTTTTATTTTCATTAAAATTTCTTGACAGTGCCTCTCCCACTCTATCATCTGCTCTCTTTTTGCGCTCTCTCACCACTCTCTTTACCTTTCTTTTACTCTCCATATACTCTGCTCTTCTTATAACACTTCTGCTTTGTAAAAACCTCTCATAAGCTACCTTTTTCTCTTTTATCACACCCTTTACTTCATCATTCCACCAATCACTCCTCTTTCCTCCTGCCCCCACCCTCCTATAACCACAAACTTCTGCCCACATTCTAATACTGCATTTTTAAAACTATTCCAACCCTCTTCAACCCCCCCACTACTCATCTTTGCACTAGCCCACCTTTCTGCCAATAGTCGCTTATATCTCACCCGAACTTCCTCCTCCCTTAGTTTATACACTTTCACCTCCCTCTTACTTGTTGTTGCCACCTTCCTCTTTTCCCATCTACCTCTTACTCTAACTGTAGCTACAACTAAATAATGATCCGATATATCAGTTGCCCCTCTATAAACATGTACATCCTGGAGCCTACCCATCAACCTTTTATCCACCAATACATAATCTAATAAACTACTTTCATTACGTGCTACATCATACCTTGTATATTTATTTATCCTCTTTTTCATAAAATATGTATTACTTATTACCAAATCTCTTTCTACACATAGCTCAATTAAAGGCTCCCCATTTACATTTACCCCTGGCACCCCAAATTTACCTACTACTCCCTCCATAACATTTTTACCCACTTTAGCATTGAAATCCCCAACCACCATTACTCTCACACTTGGTTCAAAACTCCCCATGCACTCACTCAACATTTCCCAAAATCTCTCTTTCTCCTCTACACTTCTCTCTTCTCCAGGTGCATAAACACTTACTATAACCCACTTTTCACATCCAACCCTTATTTTACTCCACATAATCCTTGAATTAATACATTTATATTCCCTCTTTTCCTGCCATAGCTTATCCTTCAGCATTGTTGCTACTCCTTCTTTAGTTCTAACTCTATTTGAAACCCCTGACCTAATCCCATTTATTTTTTCCCACTAAAACTCTCCCAGCCCCTTCAGCTTTGTTTCACTTTAAGCCAGTTTCTCATCCATAACATCCACAATCATCTCTTATCATTCGCACAACGTCCACGCAGCTTCAAACATCTCACTTTGACGGTTTTCTTCTTTTTCTTTTTAGTAGGCTATATGGGAAAAGGGGTTACTAGCCCATTGTTCCCGGCATTTTAGTTGACCTTTACAACACGCATGGCTTATTGAGGAAAGATTCTTATTCCACTTCCCCATGGATATAAAAGGAAAAGCAATACGAACAAGAACTATTAAGATAAAATCAAAGAAAACTCAGATGATTGTGTATACATGAACGTGTACATGTATGTGTTGTGTGACCTAAGTGTAAGTAGAAGTAGCAAGACGTACCTGAAATCTTGCATGTTTATGAGACAAAGATAGACACCAGCAATGCTACCATCATGTAAAACAATTACAGGCTTTCGTTTTACACTCACTTGGCAGGACGGTAGTACCTCCCTGGGTGGTTGCTGTCTACCAACCTACTACTACTAATTTATTTATTCTGGATTAGCTACGTAATCATGTGCAATATTCTCATCTGTAACATAATATGTTTTCATGCATTTTTTTTTTTATTTATAGGAGGTTGGTACACGAGATGAGTACTTCAGTCGGTTTGACCCCCATGAGGAGCATGATGCATTCCGTCGTGCTGAACAGAGGCTAGAAGAACGTCATCGTGAAAAGGTGTCCAAGGTAGGTGCTTTATCTGTTGGCATATTCATAATTTTTACATTTTGCAAATAGTACGAAACACCTTTCATTATACAAAAATTAGATGAAAAGACAGAATATAGAGTAAACCTTTATTATAACACTTACTGTAGCTCAACAAGACTTTTGTCATGATGCTGTGGTAAAGCTTTCCTTGAGCAGAGCATCATTATAATAAAGGCTTATGCTGTTTTGTGTCATTTTATCAACTTGCCAATTTGATGCTGCCTCCACCTTCAAAAAATTTGGCGAGACTGGTACATATAATAGAGAACCTTAAGTTAACCTATCATAACAGACTTTTTAATATTTTTTTTTTTATATTTCCAATAGAAATGCATTCATTTCCATTAAGGTGCATGGGAGTGGACTTCCTTTACATTAGTGGTGTGCATATCAGTTAGGGAGTGCTAGAGCAGAATTCATTTTTAACAGTGACATGCATTTTTGTTAAGGAGCACCACAGTGGACAGGCATTAGGCAACTCTGTTGTCATAGTGTGGATGTTCCTCTCAATTATCTGAACTAGAAGTACATATGAGCGAGATGGAGGGCTGCATTACACTCAAATTATCTCGTTTCACATGGAGAAGGTGGCACTGATAATAGGTAGGATTGTTTGATGTAACACTGTGTGTGTGTTTCACAGATTATGAAGGAATGGTCAGATCTTGAGGAGCGTTACCAAGACCTTCGTGCTAAGGATCCTCATGGTGCGGAGGAGTTCAAGCATCGCATGACTCAACGATTCCAGCAAACAGTTGAAGCAGTGGAAGCTGAGAATGAGGCTGAACGACACCAACTGACTGCTCTTCATCAGCAGCGGATTGTAGCGCACATCAACGAGATGAAGCGAGAAGCCATGACTTGTTATACTCGTGCTCTAGCTGAAAAGCAACCAAATGTAAGGACCTTATTAATTTTTTCAAATACCCACGAAAGTGAATGTGTTAAAAATGTCCTATCAAATTTGCTTTAGATTTTTTGTAACAGTTTTAATTAGTGGAGATGTCATATTTTTAAAGCATTCTGTGTTGTGAATATTGTGCGGAGAATTAGTGCAGAAATTAGAAGATGATGTGGGGTCACTAAAGGTATAATTCAGAGGGTGGAGGAGAGGTTGTTCAGGGAATTTTACTATTCATAAAGAATGAAGAATAATTGGTTAATAAGAGGGTGTATAAGGAGCAAGGGGCTAGTAACCCCTTCTTCTGTACAAATTACATACTAAATTTAAAAAGAAAAACTTTTGTTTTTCTTTTTAGGTCACCCTGCCTTGGTAGGATACTACCGGTTCATAAAAAAAATGTATAAATGTGGGCGGGGAAGGAAGTAGGGATAGCCCCAGAAAGAGTTGCAGATTTTAAGTGGTGGGGATGTGAGCATCCAGCAGGCATGCATATACTCACCTATGTGTACAGGCATACCTCATAAATATGGCACTCACTTTAAAGCGTTTTGTTAATACAGCCTCTCCTCACCTAATGACAGTGCTCCGTTCCTAAGACCACGTTGGTAAACTAATTCATCACTATAATGGTAATGGGTTTGTGTCAACCATCTTTGATATTGTTTTAATGTCACCTTTGCACTATTTATAAAATTTCTGGTATATTTTTAAAGGTTTGTACAGTAGTTTACTGTATATTGTAATAAAAAGAATAGAGGAAATCAGCTCTAATATGCATTAAATAAGGAATAGGGAATAAGGATTTTATTTCTTTGCATAGTTTACAATGTGTAATTAAAGTTTTGATTTGCTAAATACAAAGAAAGCCACTATCATGCTAGGGCATTTCGAGCAGACTTAACCTAATACTGAACAGACTACTTAATACTAGACATGTATATCTTAGTTGGTTCAAATTGAGCATTGTGTTTTATATTTCAACAGAGATAGTTAGTAGTTTAGCAGTAATTGAATTAACAAGTAACAGAATAACAAGTTACAGTATTATATTTATAGTGAGATTGAGACCATTTCAGTTTTGAAATAATCTTATTAAAAATAATATTTTGAAATTTCGTGTTGATGGTAGCAATAATGTATAATGTTTGTGTGGTTAATTTTGGGAGTTGAGGTGATTTCTAAGCAGAGCTTTGAATTGGTGTGCAGGTAGGAGCCCTTTTGTATATTCAGGCAATGAATTCCAGAGCTTAGGCCCCGTTATATGCATAGCATTTTTACATAGGGAGAGATGGACACGAGGGATATCAGAGTGTTTTGTGACTTGTGTTATGCAGGTGCATTCTGTTGAAGCTCTCAAGAAGGAGTTTGAGAGGAGGGTTAATATTGGAGAATAATGTTCTGTGTGTGTAGTAGGCACAATAACATGAGTGGGCATTTTGTATGTTAAGCAGGTTCAAGCTCTTAAATAGCAGTGGAGTGTGTTGCCTTGTGTAGGAGTTTGTAAACAATCTCACAGCAGCTTTTTGTTGGATTATTAAAGGTGTAAGGTGAATTGCTGTGGTTGAGCCCCATGCACAAATACCATAGGTGAGGGAAGGGTAGATAAGAGACTGGTAAAGAGCAAGAAGTGCCATTTGGGGTTCAGACATAGTACTGTATCTTTGAAAGAATGCTCACTGTTTTGGAGATTTTTTTTGGAAATATGCTGTATGTGGTTCTGAAATTTAAGACAGCTGTCAGTGTGGAAGTGCCATTTGGGATACAGACATAGTAGTGAATGGAGACAAATGTTTTTTAATACTTGACATGCTGTTGGAGTGTGAGCAAAGTAACATTTATGAAGGGAAACCGGCAGGCCGGACTTGAGTCCTGGAGATGGGAAGTACAGTGCCTGCACTCTGAAGGAGGGGTGTTAATGTTGCAGTTTAAAAACTGTAGTGTAAAGCACCCTTCTGGCAAGACAGTGATGGAGTGAATGATGGTGAAAGTTTTTCTTTTTCGGGCCACCCTGCCTTGGTGGGAATCGGCCAGTGTGATAATAAATAAATAAAAAAAAAATAGTACCGTATCTTTTAAAGAATGCTAACTGTTTTGGAGATTTTTTTTGGAAATATGCTGTATGTGGGTCTGAAATTTAAGACAACTGTCAGTGTGGAGCCCTAGAAATTTTCCTTCAGTGTGTCTTGAAATGGGGAAACCATTTATCGATATGTTTAGCTAAATATTTGTAGCTCTGTTTCCAAACAGTATGAAGTAGATTTTGTCGATATTGAGAGTAAGTTTCTTGGTCATCATCCAAGTGGATATTTTTAGTAGTTCATAATTTACAGTGTTTCTAAGTATGGTTTGGTTTGAGTGAGAGAAGATATAAGTTGTGTCATCTGCAAAATGAACAGCTTTTAGTAGTTTAGAAGCATTTGAGAGGTCATTGATGTAAATGAGAAAGAGTAGTGGTTCAAGGACATAACCCTGGGGAACTCCAGCAAGGACAGGTTGTGTGGTAGAGGCAACACCATTTGTGCATACCTTTTTTTTTTTTTTTCAACAAGTCGGCTGTCTCCCACTGAGGCAGGGTGACCCAAAAAAGAAAAAATCCCCAAAAAGAAAATACTTTCATTATTATTCAACACTTTCACCTCATTCACACATAATCACTGTTTTGCAGAGGTGCTCAGAATATGACAGTTTAGAAGCATTTATGTATAAAGATACATTACATATCCCTCCAAACTGCCAATATCCCAAACCCCTCCTTTAAAGTGCAGGCATTGTACTTCCCATTTCCAGGACTCAAGTTCGGCTATATAAAAATAACCGGTTTCCCTGAATCCCTTCACTAAATATTACCCTGCTCACACTCCAACAGCTCGCCAGGTCCCAAATACCATTCGTCTCCATTCCTATCTAACACGTTAACGCACATTTGCTGGAAGTCCAATCCCCTTACCCACAAAACCTCCTTTATCCCCTCCTTCCAACCTTTTCGAGGACAACCCCTACCCTGTCTTCCTTCCCCTACAGGTTTATACGCTCTCCATGTTATTCTACCTTTATCCATTATCTCTAAATGACCAAACCACCTCAACAACCCCTCTTCAGCTCTCTGACTAATACTTTTATTAACTCCACACCTTCTCCCAATTTCCACACTCCGAATTTTCTGCATAATATTCACACCACACATTGCCCTTAGACAGGACATCTCCACTGCCTCCAACCACCTTGCTGCACATTTACTACCCAAGCTTCACACCCATATAAGAGTGTTGGTACTACTGGACTTTCATACATTCCCTTCTTTGCTGCCATAGATAACGTTTTTTTGTCTCCACATATACCTCAACGCACCACTCGCCTTTTTTCCTTCATCAATTCTCCGATTAACCTCGTCCTTCATAAATCCATCTGCTGACACGTCAACTCCCAAATATCTGAGGCTAATGAGAGCATAGGCAATGGGGTCGAAGAGGTATGGAGTAGGTTTAAAAATGTAGTGTTAGAGTGTTCAGCAGAAGTTTGTTGTTACAGGAAAGTGGGTGCGGGAGGGAAGAGGAGCGATTGGTGGAATGATGATGTAAAGAGAGTAGTAAGGGAGAAAAAGTTAGCATATGAGAAGTTTTTACAAAGTAGAAGTGATACAAGAAGGGAAGAGTAGATGGAGAAAAAGAGAGAGGTTAAGAGTGTGGTGAAGCAATGTAAAAAGAGAGCAAATGAGAGAGTGGGTGAGATGTTATCAACAAATTTTGTTGAAAATAAGAAAAAGTTTTGGAGTGAGATTAACTAGTTAAGGAAGCCTAGAGAACAAATGGATTTGTCAATTTAAAATAGGAGAGGAGAGTTATTAAATGGAGAGTTAGAGGTATTGGGAAGATGGAGGGAATATTTTGAGGAATTGTTAAATGTTGATGAAGATAGGGAAGCTGTGATTTCATGTGTAGGGCAAGGAGGAATAACATCTTGTAGGAGTGAGGAAGAGCCAGTTGCGAGTGTGGGGGAAGTTCACGAGGCAGTAGGTAAAATAAAAGGGGGGTAAAGCAGCTGGAATTGATGGGATAAAGATAGAAATGTTAAAAGCAGGTGGGGATATAGTTTTGGAGTGGTTGGTGCTATTATTTAATAAATGTATGGAAGAGGGTAAGGTACCTAGGGATTGGCAGAGAGCATGCATAGTTCCTTTGTATAAAGGCAAAGGAGACAAAAGAGAGTGCAAAAATTATAGGGGGATAAGTCTGTTGAGTATACGTACCTGGTAAAGTGTATGGTAGAGTTATTATTGAAAGAATTAAGAGTAAGATGGAGAATAGGATAGCAGATGAACAAAGAGGCTTTAGGAAAGGTAGGGGGTATGTGGACCAGGTGTTTACAGTGAAACATATAAGTGAACAGTATTTAGATAAGGCTAAAGAGGTTTTTGTGGCATTTATGGATTTGGAAAAGGTGTATGACAGGGTGGATAGGGGGGCAATGTGCCAGATGTTGCAGGTGTATGGTATAGGAGGTAGGTTACTGAAAGCAGTGAAGAGTTTTTACGAGGATAGTGAGGCTCAAGTTAGAGTATGTAGGAAAGAGGGATTATTTCCCAGTAAAAGTAGGCCTTAGACAAGGATGTGTGATGTCACCATGGTTGTTTAATATATTTATAGATGGGGTTGTAAGAGAAGTAAATGCGAGGGTCTTGGCAAGAGGCGTGGAGTTAAAAGATAAAGAATCCCCCATAAAGTGGGAGTTGTCACAGTTGCTCTTTGCTGATGACACTGTGCTCTTGGGAGATTCTGAAGAGAAGTTGCAGAGGTTGGTGGATGAATTTGGTAGGGTATGTAAAAGAAGAAAATTAAAAGTGAAGTACAGGGAAGAGTAAGGTTACGAGGATAACAAAAAAATTAGGTGATGAAAGATTGGATATCAGATTGGAGGGAGAGAGTATGGAGGAGGTGAATGTATTCAGATATTTGGGAGTGGACGTGTCAGTGGATCGGTCTATGAAAGATGAGGTGAATTATAGAATTGATGAGGGGAAAAGGGTGAGTGGTGCACTTAGGAGTCTGTGGAGACAAAGAATTTTGTCCTTGGAGGCAAAGAGGGGAATGTATGAGAGTATAGTTTTACCAACGCTCTTATATGGTTGTGAAGCATAGGTGATGAATGTTGCAGCAAGGAGAAGGCTGGAGGCAGTGGAGGTGTCATGTCTGAGGGCAATGTGTGGTGTGAATATAATGCAGAGAATTCATAATGCAGAGAATTCATAGAATTCAACAACCCTTCCTCAGTCCAGAGGACTGAGGAAGGGTTGTTGAGGTGGTTAGGACATGTAGAGAGAATGGAGCGAAACAGAATGACTTAAAGAGTGTATCAGTCTGTAGTGGAAGGAAGGCGGGGTAGGGGTCGGCCTTGAAAAGGTTGGAGGGAGGGGGTAAAAGAGGTTTTGTGTGCGAGGGGCTTGGACTTCCAGCAGGCATGCGTGAGCGTGTTTGATAGGAGTGAATGGAGACAAATGGTTTTTAATACTTGACGTGCCGTTGGAGTGTGACCAAAGTAACATTTATGAAGGGATTCAGGGAAACCGGCAGGCCGGACTTGAGTCCTGGAGATGGGAAGTACAGTGCCTGTACTCTGAAGGAGAGGTGTTAATGTTGCAGTTTAAAAACTGTAGTGTAAAGTACCCTTCTTGCAAGACAGTGATGGAGTGAATGATGGTGGAAGTTTTTCTTTTTCGGGCCACCCTACCTTGGTGGGAATCGGCCAGTGTGCTAATAATAAATATAAAAAAATCACCTTACTCTTTTCTATGTTCACTTTCAACTTTCTACCTTTACACACACTTCCAAACTAGTCTACTAACCTTTGGATTTTTTCTTTAGAATCTCCCATAAGCACAGTATCATCAGCAAAAAGTAACTGTGTCAATTCCCATTTTGTATTTGATTCCCCGTAATTTAATCCCATCCCTCTCCCGAACACCCTAACATTTACTTCTTTTACAACCCCATCTATAAATATATATAACAACTGTGGTGACATTACACATCCCTGTCTAAGCCCTACTTTTACTGGGAAGTACTCTCCCTCTCTTCTACACACCCTAACCTGAGCCTCACTATCCTCATAGAAACTCTTTACAGCATTTAGTAACTTGCCACCTATTCCATACTTGTGTCTGTTGCTAAGATACGATTTTAGGTAATTGCCTGTGTCCTCTGACCCTGTAATGTTCAAGTTTTAGGTGCAGGAGATCATGGTCAGCTGTATCAAATACTTTCTGTAGGTCTATGAAGATGCCCAGCAAAATTTCCTTTTTTTTCCAGTGCTGTATATAGAAGTTCTAGCATATGTATAGTTACATCATTTGTAATTTTGTTTGGCCTAAATCCAAACTGGCAGGGGTTAGATATGTTGTGGGATATAAAGTAGGAGTAAACTTTAGGTATGCATACTGGTCAAGAGCCCATTGTAAGTCTGAGCCGTCGGTAAATGAGTACATTGCTAAGTGAGGAGTGGCTGTGCAGCGCTTTTCAATTATATTCATGTTGGTTATTTTCGGTGCTTGCCTTGCTCTTAAAATGGTTTTCGGTGATTTAAAATATTTAGTATTTTTACTTTTGCATTCTTTTTAGGCCTTCTGCAATTGTACACTTAATAAATGATAGTGTGAACTTGTTTTTAGGCTTTTATATACACTGGCAAGTGGAATAAAAGGGCTGTGATTTGCTTTAAGGCGATACCTGCTTTACCGGCGACGGTCTGGAACCTAACTTACTTTATTAGTGAGACATGCCCCTAGTCACCTATATGTAGTTGCAGCTTTTGGCCCTGCCTCATATTGCCACTTGCCAGATGCACTCCCACTTAACCTCTTGAGCTCTATCATACCTGCTCTTAAGACTGTATGGAGCCTGTCTCTACCACATTTTCACCAAGTTTGTTACTCTTCTCTCGTCTGTGTCTTCAACTTCAGCAGTATCCTGAATTCTTCTCTTAAATTTGCCAGATGAATCTCATCAGTCTTGCCTTTTGTCCAGATCAATTTGGAGCCTTTCCTTGTCCTCTCTCTTCCTAACTTTAAGTCTCTTCCTAAAAGGAAGAGACTACTAAGTTTTTCTTATTTTTACATTTAATAATTTATGCAAAAAGGGTTACTAGCATTTTAGTCACCTCTTACAAAAAGCATGGCTTATGGAGGAAGACTTCTCCACTTCCCTATCCGTTTTTATTCTTATAAATTTTACATCGTCAGCAAACAGGGATATTTCTAAATCAGTCCTATCTGGAATGTGTGTGTGTGTGTGTATTAGATCAGAGTAGAAACAAGATTGTTTTCAGGGTTAATGTATTGTTGGAATGTAGCAAGGTAACATTTATAAAGGGATTCAGGAGAAACCAGTTAGTCAGGCTTGAGTCCTGGAGTTAGGAAGTACAGTACTTATACACTGGAGGATGTTGCAGTCAAAGATCGTATGAATTTTGATGTCTGTGCACTTTTGGCTAGACAAACATTGAGTAAATGATTGCTAATGTGTCTTTTCTTTTCACCTTACCCATTCAATAGCAAAACAGCTATCAAATGAGTGGGCCACCCTACTTTGGTGGGAAATGGTTGGTGTATTAAATTTTTTAGTAAAAATAAAGAATTTATGCAATACTGTTAATGCTTATTGTAAGCTCCCTGGTGGACAGCTTTGAGAATTAAGTTATCATTTTTTATTGGGATTTTAGCTTCTGGAGATGATTTTACGTTAACCCTTCTGCATTAAATTTAAATGACACAGTATGTAGACAGTGTGCTGTACTGTAATATGTCATGTCCTCAAGTTACCCTGAATTAATGTATAGTTAACCTCTTGTCAAAGAAAAGAGCATAAGTTCAATTTTTCTTAAGTGTTTCTACAGCTCATATTATGAATGCTGGTACATACATTGTAATCATATAAAAAAATGAATGCTGGTGAACATTTCCTTCTATGGGTCACCATTCCTCGGTGGGAAATGGCTAATGTAGCAAAAAGAATGCAAGAGAGAGTAAGACTCTTCTATTTTTTTTTTTTCTAGACTCACCGGGTGCAAAAGTGTCTGCAGAAATTGCTACGTGCTCTTAACAAGGACCGTCATCACACCGTTTCACACTACAAGCACTTGCTCAACTCAGACTATGAGGCTGCCGACCGTGAGCGAGATTCTACTTTGCAACACCTCAGTGACTTGGAGCGTATGGTCAACCAGTCTCTCAATATGTTGGCAAGGTAAGCAATAAAAAAGGTTTTGTACAGCATTACTGCTAAAGAGAAAAACATTAGTAATCCACAATTGAGTGCAGTTTCTTTTAAACACACTGGCTGTTTTCCACAGAGGTAGGATGAGCCAAAAGAGAAGAAATTATACCAAACTAATCTCGAGTTTCAGTAGCTGTCATTGTTAGTTGTCTGGCTCCCAAATAGCAGAGGGGTGTTTTGGTCAGGTGTAGTTCAAAATGTTATGCATGCTGTATCAACTTGCTTGGTCATTAGTAATGTGGCTAATTATTTTTAATTTTCTCCACTTAGTGTCTTGACAGAATGCCAAGTGGTTCAGTCTTTTGAATTTTGTTGTACTGTACTGAATATTAGCAGAAAATAAGTAAAGTATTTTTTAAGAGGCTTGGTCTTCCAGAAATTCTGTAAGGCTCTTATGTTGTTGGATGAAACAAATTCTCATCTTAATTTTAATTTTATTATTTATTTTTATTAACACATAGGCCGATTCCCACCAAGGCAGGGTGGCGCAAAAAAAGAAAAACTTTCATCATAATTCACTCCATCACTGTCTTGCCAGAGGGGTGCTTTAGACTACAGTTATAAACTGCAACATTAACACCCCTCCTTCAGAGTGCAGACACTCTACTTCCCATCTCCAGGACTCAAGTTCGGCCTGCCGGTTTCCCTGAGTCTTTTCATAAATGTTACTTTGCTCACACTCCAACAGCACGTCGAATATTAAAAACCATTGTCTCCATTCACTCTTATCAAATACACTCATGCATGCTTGCTGGAAGTCCAAGCCCCTCACACACAAAACCTCCCTCCCCCCCTTTCCAACCTTTCCTAGGCCGACCCCTACTCCACCTTTCCTCCACTACAGATTTATACACTCTTGAAGTCATTCTGTTTCGTTCCATTCTCTCTACATGTCCGGACCACCTCAACAACCCCTCCTCAGCCCTCTGCATAATAGTTTTGGTAATCCCGCACCTTTTCCTAATTTCCGACTACGAATTCTCTTCATTATATTTACACCACACATTGCCCTCAGACATGATTTCTCCACTGCCTCCAGCCTTCTCATCATTGCAACACTAATCACCCATGCTTCATGCCTATTTAACCCTTTGAGGGTCGACAGGCCCTCTCCGAAACTCGTTCTCAGGGTCGGCCAAATTTAAAAAAAAAAAAAATTATTTTCTCTTATGAAAAGATAGAGAATCTTTTCCCGATCATAACGACACCAAAAGTTTGAAATTTGATAGAAAACTTACGGAATTATGCTCTCGCAAAGTTAGCGGTCTCGGCGATGTTTACGGATCGGCGATTTTGCCCACTTTGAGCCCCATTTTCGGCCAATTTCTCTGTACTAGTCGACAAAAAACATGAATATTTCGCTAGAACTCCATTTTTTCTATCGAATGGGTGCAAGAAACCACCATTTATAAATTCAACTATCCAGTACAGTGGTCAGAATTTAGCAATTTTGCCAATTTCACACAAATTTCAAAAGATGCCAATTTCGGAATAGGGTCCAGAATAAACAAGAAAGACATTCCTGGCACTAAAATGACATTTCCTCTAGTCATTAGTCACGTCTCAAGGCCCCTCTTATATTCTTTTGCTTTCCACTTTGAATTTTTATTCTCACAAAAAATATAAGATTTACTGTTATGCAGACTACTGCATTAGTGTAAAAAATGGTATAAATATTATTGGTGCACTTGTGAAAGAATATTAGACTCACCAGTTGACGTGTATTGCACGCTTGGCACGATTTGTTTACTTTTGAAGTTTGGTAAAAATCGAACATTTCTGCTACTTTGAGCTCAATTTCAAGGCACCTTTCATTGTAAAACCAGTCAAAATCATCTCAATTTCAGTAATATGTCTTCCATTCTATAAAATGAGACCAAGAAAACTAGAATACAACAATAAATACTATACGAAAATACACTGCAAAGTCGCTGATTTATTAAAAAAAAATGGAAAAAGTTTTTTTTTTCTCATTATGCACCGTGTGCTGCAGGATTTTTTTTAGACTGTGCACACTGACCACATAGACCCATTCTTTCATATGAAGGCCTACCAGCTTACTCCCACTAGATTTGAGGTCGCTAGAATTTATGAGTACTAGTACGTCAAAAACCCCTACGCGTAAGACATACTAGTACGACGAAAACCCTCAAAGGGTTAAGAGTGTTGGTGTAACTGTACTCTCATACATTTCCCTCTTTGCTTCCATGGACGAAGTGCTTTGTCTCCACAGACTCCTAAGTGCACCACTCGCCCTTTTTCCCTCCTCAATTCTATGATTCACCTCATCCTTCAAAGACCCATCTGCTGACACGTCCACTCCCAAATATCTGAATACATTCACCTCCTCCATACTCTCTCCCTCCAATCTGATATTCAATATTTAGGAAATCTAATCTTTTTATCCTCATCACCTTAGTCTTTACTATATTCACTTTTAATTTTCTTCTTTTACATACCCTTCCAAATTCATCCACCAACCTCTGCAACTTTTCTTCAGTCTCTCCCAAAAGCACAGTGTCATCAGCAAAGAGCAACTGTGACAACTCCCACTTTGTGTTTGATTCTTTATCTTTTAACCCCACACCACTTGCCAAGACCCTCGCATTCACTTCTCTTACAACCCCATCTATAAATATATTGAACAACCACAGAGACATCACACATCCTTGTCTAAGGCCTACTTTTACTAGGAAATAATCTCCCTCTCTCCTACATACTCTAATCTGAGCCTCAGTATCCTTGTAAAAACTCTTAACTGCTTTCAGTAACCAACCTCCTATACCATACACCTGCAACATCTACCACGTTGCCTCCCTATCCACCCTGTCATACGCCTTTTCCAAATCCTGAAATGCCACAAAAACCTCTTTAGCCTTATCTAAATACTGTTCACCTATATGTTTCACTGTAAACACTTGGTCTACACACCCCCTACCTTTCCTAAAGCTTCCTTGTTCATCTCCTATCCTACTCTCCGTCTTACTCTTAATTCTTTCAATAATAACTCTCCCATACACTTTACCACAATTACAGACTACTACTACTTTCAACAAATCGGCTGTATCCCACTGAGGCAGGGTGGCCCAAAAAGAAGACCGAAAGTTTTTCTTTTTAAATTTAGTAATTTATACAGGAGAAGGGGTTACTAGCCCTTGCTTCTGGCATTTTAGTCGCCTCTTACAACACACATGGCTTACGGAGGAAGAATTCTGTTCCACTTCCCCAAGGAGATAAGAGGAAATAAGCAAGAACAAGAACTAGAAAGAAAATAGAAGAAAACCCAGAGAAGTGTATATATATATTTTTTTTCCAACAAACCAGCTGTATCCCACCAAGGCAGGGTGGCCAAAAAAGAAAAACGAAAGTTTCTCTTTTTAAATTTAGTAATTTATACAAGAGAAGGGGTTACTAGCCCCCTGCCCCCGGCATTTTAGTTGCCTCTTACAACACGCATGGCTTACGGAGGAAAAATTCTGTTCCACTTCCCCATGGAGATAGGAAATAAACAAGAAATAGAAAGAAAATAGCAGAAAACCCAGAGGGGTGTGTATGTATATGCTTGCATATGTATGTGCAGTGTGACCTAAGAGTGAGTAGAAGTAGCGAGATGTACCTGAAATCTTGCATGTTTATGAGACAGAAAAAAGGAAATGGCAATCTTACCATCATGTAAAACAATTACTGGGTGGTTGCTGTCTACCAACCTACTACCTAGAACTCAACATACTTATTCCCCTATAATTTTTGCACTCTCTTTTGTCCCCTCTGCCTTTATACAAAGGAACTATACATGCTATCTGCCAATCCCTAGGTACCTTACCCTCTTCCATACATTTATTAAATAATAGCACCAACCACTCCAAAACTATATCCTCACCTGTTTTTAACATTTCTGTCTTTATCCCATTAATCCCAACTGCCATACCCACTTTCATTCTACCCACTGCCTCAGGAACTTTCCCCACACTCACAACTGGCTCTTCCTCACTCCTACAAGATGTTATTCCTCCTTGCCCTATACACAAAATCACAGCTTCCCTATCTTCATCAACATTTAACAATTCCTCAAAATATTTCCTTCATCTTTCCGATACCTCTTAACTCTCCATTTAATAACTATCCTCTCCTATTTTTAACTGTCAAATCCATTTGTTCCCTAGGCTTCCTCAACTTATTAATCTCACTCCAAAACTTTTTCTTATTTTCAACAAAATTTGTTGATGACATACCATACCCCCGGCCGGGATTGAACCCGCGGTCATAGAGTCTCAAAACTCCAGCCCATCGCGTTAGCCACTAGACCAGCTAGCCACAATAAGATTCATCCAACTACGATTTCTTGAGTCTTGTTGATGACATCTCGCCCACTCTTTCATTTCCTCTTTTTTTACATTACTTCACCACTCTTTTTCTCTCCATATACTCTTCCCTCCTTGCATCACTTCTACTTCGTAAAAAGCTCTCATATGCTAACTTTTTCTCCCTTACTACTCTTAACATCAATCCACCAATCACTCTTCTTCCCTCCCACACCCACTTTCCTGTAACCACAAACTTCTGCTGAACACACTAACACTACATTCTTAAACCTACCCATACATCTTCGACCCCACTGCCTATACTCTCAATAGCCCATCTATCCTCCAAATGTTGTTTATATCTTACCCTAACTGCCTCTTCTTTTAGTTTATACACCTTCACCTCTCTCTACTTGCTGCTACTATTTTCCTTGTATCCCATCTTAATGCTTTATTTAATAATGTATAGTAGTTTTAACGAGTTTTTGACTCCTTATACAATATTATGCTTCTAATGTAACAAGAAATTATTTGGAGTCTGCCTGGAGGGTATTCCGGGGACCATTGCCCCTGCGGCCCAGTCCATGACCAGGCCTCCCAGTGGATCAGGGCCTGATCAACCAGTCTGTTACTGTTGGCTGCATGTAGGAGTAGGAAAAGTCACTACAA